GGGGGGGGGGGGGGGGGGGTTGGGATAAATGAGGTCTCACCTTTGAGTCCTGTTAGCCACAAAATACTACTTCATATGAGAGAGTATAAATATGGGGTCTTCTTTGTCTCAGCCCCTCTCTTCTCTTCTCTGTCTCAGCACCACTCACAGATTGACAAAGAAGGCTTACCTCAAGAAGAAGGGACTTCCACTAACAGATTGATGAAAAAGAAGTTTCCTTTCGCTGTGAAGGTAAGAATAATCCGTTTGCTTGTATAGATCTATGTATATATATAAATAGATCTATATAGATTTACACATCACAGACTCTAATTGATTTTTATTTTATTTTATCTGTATTTTGTTCACCACAATATACATAGATCTGTATATTTGTATGTAGATCAGTAATTTTTTTTTATTCAACCACACTCTTCCATGTTCTTGTTTGGTTCATTCGTCTCTTCCTCTAAAACGCCTATCGACTTTGTAATCGCCTTTGCTTGTGATGAGACTTCAATTTCTTCGATTCAAGCTAATATTCAGGTCTAAACTTCAAAACTCATATTGAATTTGTTGGATTTTATGTCTATTATTCATTCAAATTTGCTGAAAAAAATTTATGTGCTAGTTATGTATTAGTAAGCTTAGAGGCACATTGATTAACTATTGTATGTGAACAATGTGAACTGATTTTGAGCTTTATTTATTATTTGGATGAGTGGGTAGGTTAGTTTTTGGTGTTCTTATTTGGAATGACTTGCGTATAACAAAAAGATATAGGTAAAAAAATAAGGCTGTTATTCCAACAAAATAAAATAGAATTTTGGTTATTGAATTTGTGGCTTAAACCCCATGATTTTGCGCTCTTTCCATACAAAGTCTTTTTTGTCTTGTAAATTCATTTTTTTCCTATTTAGATAGAGGGCTTCAAGTTCTTAGGAAGAGCCAATTACTGAATTGCTTCCCAATGGTATGTTCCGGGTTCGTTTCAATAGTTGATTTTGAGAATCAACCAACCCACAAATCTGTCCATAAAGACACCATGTACGATGGATTTCACTGCACCACACTATCAACACTATATCCTATTTCTTCACACTAGGATAGGGGCGATGCTTGATTTATAAGTGTGAACCTGGATCTCATTTTATCATATAAACAGTTATAGAGCACGTGATTTTCTTCCATTTTTTTCCTTCTGATGCATTGTGATATATGTATCCATCCCACTTGCAACCAACACATATACCAAGGTATAATTCTAGCCTAGAAGACCATATTATTCAAAATGGTCAAAAGAATTCTGCTCCTTTGAAGAAGTCAAAATAATAGGCTACTAATATAAGCTCTCATTTACTAAGCATGAATAAAAATCATATGCTCTGGTGTACTAAGGATAGAAATGATAATTTTATGAAATTTGTAAGATTTTATGAACTCTTTCTTTTGTGAAATTGATTGTAAGCTATAATTTGCAGGCTTACAAAATCTTGGTAGAATTTGATTCTAAGGTGCTGGTGGACAATGTATTGGGTTTCTATGGATTATTCTACTCTTTTGCAGTTGCCCTGTGCTATGAAATTGACTTTACTTCAGGATATGGAATAGCTACCTGTGCTCAGGTGCAAGAAGGCTATGGTGTTTGATGATAAGGGTTGAGGGACTGCATTGCCTAATCTATTTTTTTTGCTGCTGTGAAGAGTGATGTTGTTCTGCTATATTGGGAATGATTATGGGTTGTATGAGGCTGATGCCTGGCTGCAATGAAGCTGTCTGTGCTGATATACTGGACTGAAAATAGTTATTGTCTGGTTGCAATGAAGGTGCCTTTTGAGCATTTTGAAGGAGTAAAGCCTTGTAAATGAATTTTTTGAGTTGGATTGTAAAATTCTTGAAATTATTTGCTTCTTGTAATATTTTGATTCTTTCTATAAATTCCACTTTTTCCAAAAAAAAAATGTGTATAGGGAGGCAAATTTCATGGCTGATTTTTTTGCAAATCTGACTTTGCAAGATTGGTACTCTGTTGAAGGTCTTTAATTCATGGTAGTAAATCATTTTTCATGAAATAAAGTATTGATTTGTTTGAAAACAAAAAATTAGATATTATAAATCATATTTAGGATAAAATTTGAAATAGTTACCAAACATGTTTTTTGTTTTTATACTCATAATTTGATAGACAAAAATGACTCTCAAACATATTTTCTGTTTCAGTGTTTACCACAAAATAGAGATAAAAATTATCTTTGTTTTTTATTTTTTTAAAGACGCGAAAACAAAAACGTTATCAAACGACTCTTGAGTATTCCTTGTTCTAAAATGTTCATTTATATTCTGTTCGGATTATGCATACAACCTTCCTTTACAGTTATCCATTCAAAAGCCGACACCTCACCTTAATTGAGTCATAGTTTCACAATTATGAATCACACAACTCATCACCTGATTCTTCTCATTCTTACACATACACTAACCCTTTGATCCCACAACGCCACCGCTGCACCATTACTCTTCTTGCACACTTTCTTCTCCATATGCAAATCCACAACGAAACCCTCTTTCATGGTCAATTTTGTTTTTATTATCATTAAATAAATTGATGAACCCTTGCTAAAACCTACTTAGGTGCAATCCACCATTTGACACAAAGAAATTCAAAATGATTCATTTTCAAATCACTCATATTTCCCATTAGAAGTTCAAAGTCATATTGAATAAACACAATTTGTGGAGAATGCTTTGCATTCAATTCACAGTATATTTTTTTGTCAAAATGATCACAAAAAACTGATTACCCAGTTAGAGGGAGGGAAGAATGATGGTGGTGGGAAACTATAGAGGGGTGTATATATGCGTACGAGAATGCCTCCATGTATGTGTGAGAGAGACAAAGGTGGAGGAGGAGAGAGGGAGGACCGCGGTGAGGCGAGGCGTACAATGGTGGGTGACTTGTAAGCCCTTGAGAGAGAACAAATAGAGGAGTCGAATCAAAGGGGGTATTATTTGGTAAAATTGAGGTGTCAGCTTTTGAATGAATAACTGTAAAGGAGAGGTTGTCTGAGTAATTTAAACTCATCCTAGGATTTTTCAATTATTTACGACTTGTTTCACCCAAATGATGACTTTTTATGATTTACGTAAAAGTTAATGAAGTTTATTATAATTAAATACAAAGAAAAAATTAAGAAATTTTATGTGGTGAAGCGTGTTTAGTTTTAGAATTGCTAAAATATTAGATTCAAAACATCATCAAGCACTTTCTATGTCGCCAAAATAAATTATTTTAGTTTAGGATGTATTTTATCTTGTAATCCCTATATATTTTATCTCTTAATCCCTATTGATGATGCACAAAAGTGTTCTCGTGCAAGATCAATAGTCGAGTATATG